CCCTCTCACTGGTTTTCCTTTGCTCTCCCTCACTCTCCCACTTCTCTCCTCTGGGCACCTGCTGATTTTTCCATGCCTGTCTCACCCCCTGGCCCTGGCTCCAAGTTTCCAGATGCACTTTCTGCTTTGCTAAGGTGTCACAGTGCACAGGTATTGCCTGGAGAAGGTTTTACACTGTAGCCACGGGGATATGGATTCTCCTTTTAGCCTGGAGAAAAGGAGGCTGAGGGGAGACCTCATTGCTCTCTACAACTACCTGAAAGGAGGCTGTAGCGAGGTGGGTGTTGGTCTCTTCTCCCAAGTAACTGGCAAAAGGACGAGAGGAAATGGCCTCAAGTTGCGCCAGGGGAGGTTTAGATTGGACATGAGGAAAAATGTCTTTACTGAAAGAGTGGTTAAACCTTGGACCAGGCTGCCCAGGGAAGTGGTTGAGTCCCCATCCCTGGAAGTATTTAAAAGACGTGTAGATGAGGCGCTTAGGGACATGGTTTAGTGGGCATGGTGGTGTTGGGTTGACGGTTGGACTCGATGATCTTGGAGGTCTCTTCCAACCTTAATGATTCTATGATTCTATGATTCTATATGTCCCCGTCTGCTAGGTGGAGAACTGAGAAATGCCACAGAAACCTTCCCTCCGGCACCTCGGACCACTTGCAAACAGGGTATTAACGCAGATGAACCCAACACCGCCAGAAGACCAGACATTGCCTGCACAGATGAAATTTCAGACAGAGGATGGGGATGAAGTAACAGGACCAAGGCTGCATGGGAAAGCAGTAGCAAAGATCAGTAACGGACATCCGGGTCTTTCCATATGTGAATTGGGAAGACCATTCCAGTGGTCTTTGGAAAGACCACCTGGCACCTGGGGAAGAAATTAACGGACTATCTTGCTTGTTATGCAAGGTACATATCATTAGGTACCCCTTCTAATCCTTGCCTGGGCCATTCGGAGAGTTCACACTCTGTTTACGGCAGGAATCACCTCTTATCTTGTAAAACACCTTGCACAGCCCGATGCCTGCACAAAATAAACAACATGCTCTTCTTGGGTAGCTTCACAGCGTCCCTGTGACCGAGCTGTTTGTGTGAGCGATAGGGTCCCTGCTGCAGATCACTTAAGAGTCACAAACTGAGTGTGAGAAACTGGATCACTTTTACCACCTTTCTCCTGCCCTGAGACTCACCTGTGAGCCTCTGGCTGGAGCTCACCCATGGTGAAGAGACACCTCTTAGGCTGCCAGGTAGGTATGGGGGTGAAGGGGCTCTTGCAGAGCTTGCTGGGGCCATTGGAGACGTCTTGGACCCCTGGAGTACAGTTGCCTCCTGGGCTGGAGGTCACAGAAGACAGCATTCCACTTCTCACCTGGGTTTTTGACTGAGGTCCCTGATGTACATGTCCAGGATGCAGGCTGGAATGCAGGTCCTTTTCTCTCCAACTGATTGATCTCTGCTGTGGTGGAGCTGTGGGGCCTATTTCCCAGTGGTTTTGGTGGCTGTTGCATAAAACCATGGCTGCTCATGGAGCTCACGGTCTCCCTCTACCCCCTGGAGAGACTCAAGCTGGTGGCACAGCCCCCAGCCCCACTCCCCTAAGCAAATGAAGAGTTGCCAGTGGCTTCTCTTCTTTTGGACGTGAAGAAAAATGTCTTTACTGAAAGAGTGGTTAAACATTGGACCAGGCTGCCCAGGGAAGTGGTTGAGTCCCCATCCCTGGGAGTATTTAAAAGACGTGTAGATGAGGCGCTTAGGGACATGGTTTAGTGGGCATGGTGGTGGTGGGTCAACGGTTAGACTTGATGATCTTAGAGGTCTTTTCCAACCTTAATGATTCTATGATTCTATGATTCTGCAATGGCTTCATGGTGGAAGCACAAGTATTTAAAAGACATGTAGATGCGGCGCTTAGGGACATGGTTTAGTGGACATGGTGGTGTTGGGTCAACGGTTAGACTTGATGATCTTAGAGGTCTTTTCCAACCTTAATGATTCTATGATTCTATGATTCTATGACTATGGAGCCAGGTGAGTGTCTGCCCCATCCGTTTATCACAAGCATGGCAGGGAACAAAATTCAACAAATGCTGGTGCAGCATGAACAAAAAAGGCTATGGTGCCCAGTGCAGAGGAAGCAGAGCTAACAGGCTCTTTGTTATGTTCACCCTGGGCTTGGCCACGTGTTGCTATTGGCCATAAAAATACCCATTTCCTTTCTAAATTGAGTTACAATACCTGACTCTTTGGCCTTGGGTGATAATGCAATGCACAAGTGCTTAGCAGACACCCTGTAACTCTTCTTCCTGGTTTGCTCCAGCACAAATGATCCACAGTTTTCAGTTCAATAAAATATTTGCAGCCAAGGAGTCAAATATCTTTCATCTGTATTTATTTGCAGTGTGTCACCTCATGAATAGAAAGAATATATTTCATGAATAGAAATCTGTTAGTCCTGCGTGGAGTTCCTGGTATATGTGAAAGACCAAGCCGGAGTTCAAGCAGGGGGAAAGACTGTTTCTTCAATTCCAGTGAAATTATTGAATAAATGACTTCTTGTTTAAAATGGGCTTTTTATAGTTATAGCACGTATAACTTGTCTCTTGGAACCATGAAACAAGTGGACCAAGCCTGATTCATCTTAAATAAGCACTAGGACCCGCTAGCACTGGGTTCGTGGGGCCCAGGAACCTGGTTGTGAAGATGGAGATGGGTGGACAAGGTTTGCTGATGATCTGATGAAGAGGTCTGTGTAACCGTGCCCAGGCCCTGGCCGCGTGGCTGCTCCCCAGCTGTTCATGCTGAACTGGAGGATGACTTCTGACGGCTCACAGAGATGCTCGGGTGGAAACTTCACCTTCTTCCACGAGGAGCGAAGCTGCCCGTGGGTCTGCTGTGGAAAGCAGTTGCAGATCAGACGTGTTATGGGTGAGATAAGGGAAGAGCTCTGAGACACCAGGGGTTGATTCACCTTCAGGTTTGGACACTTTGCGGGGGTGAAATCCCACCTCCTAAACACAGGTGTCTGATGCTCTTTTCCACACCCCGAGGTTTCCCACCCAGCTCCAGCTGCAAGTCCTAGAGGGGTGCAGGTCTCCCATAGACCCCTATCCACCAGCCCTGTGAAAACATCCTGGTCACCCTAGGGTGTCTCCACTAGATCTAGGATTTCTGAGGCTGGATCATCTCACCCAGTTCCCTTCCTCCTGTGGCTGGGACACTCGTTTACTGCTATTAAAGCCTCCTTCCCTCCTCAGGATGCAGGGAATGACATTTCCAAGCTGTGCAAACCAGCCATCTCCAGACTTTGGCCTCCTGTGAATGCTAAACCGGTTCCTACTCGCTCTGTCCCAGTTGTGGGTCTGCAAAGGAGGGATAAACAGCATTTGAAGCCAGCAAAGTGCTGTTCACACTGACACAAGCACATTATCCCATCGGGAACACTTGGGAAGTGATGCTGGCATCATGGTGGGGGATTTTGTCCCATCACAGGCGACGGATAGGGGCATTATGGCACTGAAGATCAAGGCCTTGGACTGAATGTAGCTGCCGATAGCCCACTTCTCCCTACAGATCTGTTACGAATCTTCCCACTCCTTTTTCCTTCCAGGCTCTCTTGCAGCAGCGGCGTGCACAAGTAACTCTGTGTCACATGCTGGTGCTGGCACACAGATCATCTCTGCTGTTTCTTTCTTGTAGCATCTTTGTTACACTATGAAAAGCACCCTCTACCGAAGGACTCAAAATCTGGTTCATGGGGTAGAAAACAGCAGAGCAAGCACCCTGGGGAGATGCTGCTCAGCGCCATAACCTGAAGGAGAATCCACTTGGGTCCCAGACTCTGGGACTCTGGGACTGGGACTCTGGGATTCTGGGACTCTGTCACTCCTGTGGTCCTGACATCCCTTCAGTGTGCCATCTGGGCCTTATTTCTTCATCCTCCACTCCCCAACCCAGTGCAATTGCTGGTTGGAGACCACCCTGCAGCCTGATGCAGGCATTCCCACCGGAGCTGTGGGACAGAGATGCACTAGAAACCAGGGAAATGGCATTTGAACCCTCCCGATGCTGGGTGCAGAGCTGGACCCACCGTGGGGCTGGCATGATGCGTCGATGCTGCATCAGGAGCTTGTGCAGTGAAGGGCTCGGCAAAGCAAGGAGGGTATGTTTTTATTTTTGAGGTATTTTAAATATATATATTTTTAGTTCCCCCCCCACCAGCTGGGTGGCAGGAGCCACCCAGATTTGCGGGGAAGGAGGGACATCTCGTGGCCGCAGCACGAACATCTCTCCTGCCTCCGGGCTCCAGGGCCGCCTGTACCGGCGGTCGCTCCGATGCACCCCGGCCATCCCCCCTTCCCGCCCGGGTACCACCCCAGCATCACCCCGAGCTGCCCGGGGACCTCCATGGCCTCTCTCCTTCTCCTCCATGGGCTGGGGGTGGGCACGGGAAGCACAGGGGCCCGTTCTCGCCCTGACGCCCGAATAAAGAAATGGGAAATGGTCGCATCCAGTTCTTTATTATTGACCTGGGGCAGAGGGGTGGCACGACCTGGAAAGATTGCTCCAGGGCTTGGGGGCCTGGCGTGGCTCAAGGAGGTGCAGACAGGCCACTTTCCCACCCATGCCCGTGGCATGAAGGGGGGTTGTAGTATTGCCGGCAGTGGCATCAGAAGCGGGGGGAGAGATTGTGCACCCCTCAATACCACCACCCCGGCCACGGTCCCCTCTTCTTGGGGCTGCAGTTGCAGGCCTGAGGGGCTTTTCTGTCTCCGGGTGGGTCACGAAGGAGTCTGCTGTCCTTCGCGGCAGAGGTGATGTCTGTGAAGTGGGTACAGACCTCCAAGGTGGATGGGGAAGGAGCTGTGTCAGCTCTCAGCCACCTCTTTAGTCTCCATGATAACCACAGAGCTGACAGCATCCACCTCCCTCGTGTCCCTCCTCATTCCCCGTCTCCAAATGCATCGTGGTGGCACACAGGAGAAAGGGAAAGGCCTGAAACGAGCCATCGCCGGGCTGTGCGGGACAGTGGCTTTCCTCCAGATCTGTCCCCAGGCAGTGGTGGGACCGTGGCTTACTGCTGAGGCTCCGGCTCGTACTGCTTCTCCGTGGCAGTGTAGAAGTCCTCCAGGACTGACTGCAGGTACTCGAAGGTCGGGCGCTCCTCCGGCTTGTTTCGCCAGCATTTCAGGATGATGTTGTAGAGTTCACCAGGGCACATGTCCGGGCAGGGCATGCGGTAGCCCCGTTCCAGGTTGCGAATCACCTCGGGGTTGGTCATCCCTGGAGGGAAACGCAGCCCAGCAGGAGTTATTCAGCACCCTGCTGGAAGCTCAGTGCTCCCCATAGCCCACGTCCAGGCAAGGCTGGAGGGGCATGAGGGACCTCGATACTGGGCCATATCTGGGCATCATCCCTTCTTCAGGGTTGTGCTCCCCCCTCCATCCCTCTGCCCCCTCCCTGACTCCCCTCTATAGGTTTTTCCTAGCACGGGTGTTACTGAGGCTCGTGGGAGCCTAGGAGAGGAAACCCAGCATGAAGAAACAGGGGTGTGTGTCTGGGCACACGCGTGCACACACTTGGGTATGTGTCTCCAAGCGTAAAGCAGCAGTAGGTGCTTTGAAGCTGATGGACGCTCATCCCGTATTCGCAGCGCGCTGTACCTGGGTAAGGGATCCTGCCGTAGGTTATGATTTCCGTCAGGAGGATCCCGAAAGACCACACGTCAGATTTGATGGTGAAAACTCCAAAGTTAATGGCCTCCGGCGCCGTCCATTTGATCGGGAATTTGGCACCTGTCCAGAGGAAGCCAAGGGAAATAGCACATGGAGATACAGCACCTCCCTCTGCTCCCACAGGCACTGGCAAGCAGTTCCCCGAAAACTGAGCCCTGGGTCCTGTGGGCCGTTGACTGCGTCAGGGGGCTGTGGTGGGACTTGGTGGCGGTACCGTGGAGTTACGGAGATAAGGCCAGAGGAAGGTGATTGCTGCCTGCCTCCTGCTTTCATTGAAAGGTCATTTCTACCTGGCATCTCTTTGCCTTTCTTGGTTCTTTCTCCAGTGCAATCAAGGCTATTTTGTCTCAAAAGACTTTTTCATATGTATAAACATCCATAGATACTGATACACAGAGGCCAAATAATGAAAGAACTTAATTCATTAGTTAAGTGATAATACGCTTATTAAAAAAAATCTAGGTGAACTATTTTACTGATGAATTTAGAGGACTCTGCAGTCTTACACCACCTTTGCATCTCTTGCGTGTTTAGCAATGGGATCTCAGGAATGGAGCCAAAGAACGGCAGCACGGACCAGCGCCGTGCACGCCGAGGGCGCGATGCTGGGAGCGAGCAGTGCCTGCCACAGCCCTCGGGCATCAAGCGGCTCTGGCGAAAGACCCATCGCTCTTCAGGTAACAACCCGCCGTGGGGAACCAGTGGGTTTCTGTAGCCCAAACTATGTGTAGCCAATGCCCAGAGCAGCTTTATTAGAGCACAACAACAGTAGGATTTCATTCTGTACAAAATCACTCACTGGAAGGGGGCTGTTTTTAGCAAAAGTCCATGAATGATACAGCAAATATAATTTTTTTGGTTCTTTAAGCTGCATATGTACATTAAAAACAAAAAAGTCCTATTCTATTTTGTCCACCAAGATTTTGTTTTGCATGCTGTGGACAGCAATGACCATAAGATTGCAATTTCAGTTTAACTACGGCCAAAAAAAACCCCAAAACACCTTGATACGTAGGAACTGCATGTGTTAAAGACTGCAGAGGAAAACACATTTTTATTTGTATATATCCTTTCAGGACTGAAAGCCCAAATGCAGTGTGTGAAATAAGTGCCTTTGTTCTTGCATATCATATTTCTGACAAGTAGACTGACGAGGCTCGGAAATGCAGTTTATGAAGTGAAAATTGTTCAAAGTAGATAGAGGGGCAGTTGTTATTTCAGATTAAAGCTAGCTGGAAAAATGCTGATAGGAACTGTTTTCCACTGGAAATGTAGCTCCTTTGGGTATGTCAACAGAATTATACTGATTTCACCAAAACTTCTCTTAAGGATAAAAACTGCCTTAAAAAACTGCAGCAATCTCACAGTACCCCTTCATGACATTTCACAAATTACATTTGCGAGCTTTTACTACTTTGAAATAGTTTTACATGTTGAAATGGGCATAATTTGTTTCATAAAGTATTTTGGGAACAGCAAATTGAAAGAAAAGTTTGCTATCTTATAAGAAAAAAAAAAATCTATTCAATCTCTTTTCCCCAGAGTATTTTTATGGGGAATTTTAGCTTCATCCTAACTCTAGAGGCAGACAGATTTCCAAAATTTGAAAATCTTCTGGTAAGTGCCACTTATGCCAGACTTAATGGTTTTATTTCAATCATTTCTGCTTGTTTCCCTGACGTTCTGTAAAGTCTCTTTGCAACCTGAGTGACACGATCTCAGAGTCAGAGGTCAGTACAGAGAAAGCACGGGGAAAAAGCTGCCGCCAGAGGAATTTGGCTCAGCCCTGTTGTCAAATGGCTGTAGGTGGACCTCCGCACCAACCAAGCCAGTTCATCTCTCATGGCCATGCTCTGCTGTCCACCACCAGTTCAGATACCCAGTCCCAGCAAGGGGCTTGGCTTTGCAGGTGGAGTCATAAGGAGATTTCCCATTAACATGGGAAATACTGGGGTTTGTATGCCTTTTTTGTTCGGTTGGTTTGTTTTAGATGCTCAAGGTACTCTGTTCCCATGAGAAACACCTGCCAATCTGCAAACCCTCTCCCATGTTTTGTAGGTTGTCCCTCTGTTACGGAAGGGACTTGATCTGATCTGGGCTCGGTTTGCCTGGGACATCTGGAATCTGCCGTTAGGTCCAGATCCGTGGCTCCAGCTCCCCTCTGCAGTCCCGCGGTGTGCGGTGACTGAGTTACACTGCTATTTCCTTCCCTTTGGACTGACTCACTGTGAACACGTAGGCACAGGCAGCAGGTTTCATTAGTAGAGGTCAAATTTCTCCAGTAACACAACCTGAGCCCCGAAACAGTGCCAAAATACTTTTTTCCTGTTTCCCTCCGCAAACCTCACTTACTCTTCAGTGTCCCCAAGTACTGCTCCCTCTCCTGGGACCCCATTTTTGGCTCTCTTGCTTGCTCTGCCTGGGTGCTGACAAGGGCAGCAGTGGGGGCTCTGGTCTCACGCCACTGGCAGTGGTGCCCTGCGCCTGGTCCCAGCCCAGCCCTCAGACACCCCATATCTTGGCACGTCTGCATGGCAGGAGGATTAGAGATAAGGGAAATGTGTTGGTGAGGCAATGCTGGGAACGACACCCACCTTCTTGTGCCAAGTATTCGTTCTCAATGATCCTGGCCAGGCCAAAATCAGCAATTTTGCAGCAGAGTGTCTCTGAGACGAGGATGTTGGCAGCTCTCAAGTCACGGTGGATGGAGTTCATTCGCTCGATGTACGCCATTCCCTCTGCCACCTAGGAGAGGAGGAGAAGTCCATTTTCATGAGTCACCTCCCCATGGCAAGAAGCTAGCCTGCCTGCATCTTACCCACCTTTACAAAGGCACAGCATGTGTATAGGGTTGCTCCATGGATGGATGGATGGACAGATAGATCAACAGACAGATAGATAAACAGGTAGACATATACATACACAGATAAACAGGTATTGCCCATGTACATTTGCATATGTGCAGCTCTACCAGCATGCACCCCGCCTCCAAAAGCTGCCAAGTCAAGCAGAACAGAAGCACCGCTCTCTGTTTTGCTCCCAAGTTACAGCTGTGAGTCGTGTCTGTAGTGAGATACAGAAAGTTGAAGCAAACCTGAAGCCACATCACTGGATTCCCTGTTTCCGCCACAAGACTCTAGTTGGGATTTTAATCACAAAACCTCCAGGTTAAATATGTGAATTAAAAAAGAAAAAACCCTCAAAGAGCTCATCCATCCCTCAGTCACAGTAGTAAAGTCCAGATGTAGGACAACTAGACGTTCTTCAGCAACCTCCTCTGTTCTCCCTCACTGGTCTGCTTTGGGGTGTGGAGGAGACCCCTGGAGATCCCTCTGCAATAAAACTGAGACTGGTGTTTTCTCTCCCTGTGCTGGGTCCAGACTAGGACCCAGGACACAATACAGTTCCCCTCTGATACCTGCAGGACGCAATTGAGCAGAAATCCCAGATATCCACAGAAATATGACTGGGATAGAGAGTATGTCCCTGGACAAATCCCTTGTCCTGGGCACGTGATGCCTTCTCCAACCACCTCCAAACTTTACTTTGGGAGGTTCTTCCTCCCGAGATCATCTTTCATTGTTTAGCTCCTTGGAGCAGGGAGCAGCCCTGGGGAGGTGCCTGCCGTGTGACTAGCCCCTATAAAATGACGGCAATCTTTTATTGCTGAGTGCTGGGACATACAGAAAAAAAGAGATTGCAAAGTTGCTCTACCAGTCGAGTCTCAGATTTGGGTTAGGCATTTTTCAGGAGGGTGAGTGGATGCACGCAACACCTGCTAATAATGGTTGCTACCTATTAAATCTTCTATGCGCTTGTGAGTGAGGGCAGAGCAATTTTCCACGCCATACAGATTCACATCAGCATCTCCACTTACATGTGGTTTTAAACAGGATACTAACACATACTTTCCAGTGCTGCATTTCTAACCTGTGTCAACACCCCTTCAGCGCAAGTGCTGTTTGCTGCAGTGGAAAATGGAAGAATTGATGTAATTTCCTGTCCTGATGTTAATGAGATAGTACCCGGCGATGGGCCCGTTCCAGCCCAGCGTGCTTTCGACCATATACCCTCGAGACTGACCACAGGATTGAATGCATCAGCCCAGAGATTTCTAATTTTAACTCCGGCGGATGCTATTGGATCCAAAATCGCGCTCGGGAAGGTTGGGTGCCTGTTGTCATGTTGTCATCCCGACACCGCAGATGAACAGATTGCAAAATAGCTTGAGAGACTGCCCTTTTCCTCCTCCTCCTCCCGGAGCTACCCAGTGAGTGTTTGAATCCCTGCCCTGGGGAGGTGGTTTTGAGGTGGGAGGGGGAGCGATGAAAGCTGTCCTTCCGATTGACGCCCATGTCTCGAGGGATGGGCAAAATCCTTCTTACCCCTCGTGCTGCTGGATCCTTCTTACCCCCACACTGCTTTAAAGTATTTAAATATTTTCATCCTGGTTAAAGCAAGAAGGCAAATCTTTTGCTATCATATAACATTTGCTCTAATATTAAGATTCTCCAGTTTTTCATAAGTTATAAAATAACTGTATGATGGCTGGAACCAAGCGGCCAGCCTTTACATGTTGTTTGCTCAGTCTCAATTTGACCCAGACAGGCCGAGTAATCTTGTGGGTAAATCCCAGACCTTCACACCGAAATAACTGTATTCAGCTGTCACACTGATGCTTCATGGCTTTTTTCTAATATTTCCAAAATTAGCCTAGCTCTGCTCTGGGTGAGCCAAACTCTGTCAACAGCTGGCTAGGACCAAAGTGGAGCGATTTTGCCAATATCATCCTTCATGTACAACTTGCTGCCAAGATGCTGCCACTCCGGTTGCGGTTTCCCTAACTTTGACCTGTTTGAGTTTAGATGCACTTCTGGACTAAAATGTTACAGTAGAGCTGCAACTCCTAATATTTACAGCCTGGGGATGCTTAGAGAGGAACAACCCTACAAAGGCAAATGTTTGTTCTCATAAGGAGCAATATTCCCAGATCTGAGGGTCAGAACATCCTTTATGCTTAATCATCAGAAGGGAAGAACAGCTGAAAGCCAGCGTGTCTCTACATTGGAAGCCTCTCGGTTGAGCTTTTTCTTCCTTTTGGTAAAAAAAAAAAAAGAAACAAACTTATTTCCTGCCGAGCAAGCCAGAAAAACCAAACCAAACCAAACCAAAACCCAAAAAACAAAACCCAGTTCTCTAGCACTGCAGTAAGTTCCCCAGAGGCTGTCCTAAGGACAGCAGAGCATTGCTGAGCTGACAAGCACATCAACGCAAGAGGGCTGAGAGAAGCCCTAAGAGAGCACGCCAGGAGGTGCTGTTTTTCTCCATGAAACTGACGCTCCGACAGACTTCAGACTTGCAAGAATTTCACTGAGGCAATAACAAATCATGGTCTTGAGTCTGTTTCCCAGAGGCCGTTCACTAACCTGAGCAGACATATCAATGAGTTTTGGGAGATTCAGTTGGCTTCCTTCTTCTGTCTTCAAGTAATCCAGCAAACACCCTGCAAAAGAGGAGAGACTGCTGTGACTCTTCTGAATAAGCCTATGCATTTGCTTTCCCTGGTGTTTCTCTGAATATATGCGACGAATCTGCCTGCACCCTAGAGAAAATCTGAGGAACCACAGTGAGCGTCCGCTGGAGCATGTCCCATTGGGGAAGTTCCCAAACGCAGCCCATTTCCCCCCCCCTGTTTTGCACAGACCTTTTGCAAACTGCGGGGCATTCTTCACTCGAACCCTCATAGACAAGAGGGGCAGAAGAAAGGACAATTTCACCAAGAGGGGAGTAAAAGTCTGAAACAAAATTCCAGTGGGAACAGTGGAGATGAGAGCTTTAAATACTCTTCAAATGGAGCATCACCATCTTGTGAAGTAGCTTATGAAATATGAGACCACAAGAGGCAGGATTTCATCTCCCAGAAAGTCCATTCCTGTACTAGAAACAAACTTGCGGATCACTTGGTCCTTCTGCTTACAGATTTGGTACAATGCCCTCTTCCCCACCTCCCTTAGGATGGGAGTACCAGCTGGCTCGTTGACCTGATTTTGCAGAAACCCAACAAAAAATCTCCATGAGGCTTTTTACCATTGGCCATGTACTCTGTCACAATATAGATTGGCTGCTTCGTCACTACTGCATATAGCCGGACCAGTTTGTTATGCTGGAGCCTCTTCATCAAGTTTGCCTCTGCCAAGAAGGCATCAGGATCCATGCTGCCCTCCTTCATGGTCTTCACAGCCACCTTGATGTTGTTCTTGTAGTAGCCTGCAGAGAGACAATGATGCATGGAGGAATTTTGGCCTCTCTATGGGCTCTATCAGGCCGTGCAATAAGGAACAGAAGAGCTTGTGGATCAGGGAGCAGAAAACCACAGTAACAACTTTCAATCTCCCAGTGAAAAACAAATGGTTAATCTCAGTGCCAGTGGGCTCTGAGCAACCAACAGGTGTCAGAGGAGAAGGGGAGACACAGCACCACTGTCAATCCATGTGGCTTCATCAGGGATCATCTCTGCTCTGGGTGGTGGACATCCATGCGATGAGCCCACCCTCCCAGCCCGGCAAGACTCTGGATGAAACCCCTGGGGCCTCCCACCAGCTGGGTTCTCAAATAATCCAAACACTGTCAAGAAAGCCAGGACTCTGCAGCCAGGACGTCAACTCAGTCTGATCCTGTCCACAATCTCAATTGCCAAGGCAACAGGCAACCACAAAGAGGACAGCAAAGGAAGCTGAGCTCACCCCATTTCCCCTCCCACTGATTAGCAGTGGGCAGGAAGGCGTAAGGGATTCAGATCTGAGTTATAGAGTGGAACAGGGAAGCAGAAAAAGTGGGATAGTGTCACCCAGGTACCCTGCTGTGTGTAACTTAGGATCCTGCAACCATGCCTAGGATTCCCAGGAAGAACGAGAGGATGTCTCAGGAGATGAGTATATAGTTACTTCAACACCTCTTGCATGCATCTAGCCTATGAAACCCATGCTCAGCCACTGATCTCTGCAAACACAACCTGTCTGGTCCTTCCCAGGAGTATGGCATCTACTGCTGCGTGTGTACCCATAAATATGTGTTTATGCTTTAGGATCCCCCCGCCCAGACTAGTGCTGTCTTAAGGAAAGAGGGCTTTCCATCTCCTCTGTTTATAAATTTTTTTCCCTGGAATGGGGGGAATTATACTTACCCATCCACACTTCCCCAAACTGCCCGCTGCCAAGTTTCTTCACAAGCTTCAGAGACTCCCGTGGGATCTCCCATTCATCCTGTGCCCAGGGTCTCTGGGGAACCAGCGATATGCAGGGAGCTGTGAGTCGCTGGCACAGGCCATCCCCTTTCTCTGTACGAAGATGAAGCACAGGACAGTTCAATGGGATGGCAGAGCTAACCTCCTCCTCCATCTACACATGTCGAGAAAAAGTCAACCCATGGGAAACCTCCACAACCACACAAATGTTTCAGCCACAGGGATCAAGGCACCCAGAATGGACTCGATGAAAGGAAAAAGCTCAAAGGGAGCCATAGAGGAGCAAATTCTCCTGCCCAGAAAGTCCAAGCCCTGCTTCCCAAGCATCTCTCCTGTATGGCCCTTCAGCATTCACCTCTTTCCTTTCCTGATGGGAGACACTCCCTGGTTATAGGGCTGTGGGCAGAGCTCACCCTCACAATGCCCTAGGATGAAAGATAGGACATGGGTGCCCAAGTTCTGCTTGGAGAAGCACACCTTGCCCATGAGAGTGGGTGGAGTGATGGTGGTGGCTAGTAAGCCTGTCCTCCCTCTGTCCACATACCCACATTCTGCTAGGAGACAAACCCATCAGGGAAGGCAAACAACTTACGGCTGTAATGATGGATTAGCTCTGGCAGGCTGGAGAAAGTCATCCTGGGGGAGATGTAATACCCCCCGCCATCTAAGGAGCGGATCCTGTAGTGTTTGATGATGTCTCCATGAGCAGAGTTGCCATCTCTCACGGACAAGGAATAGGCACCTGGAGAATGAGCAGAAGAGGGAACTGTGAGGACAAGTAGGACCTGACCCAGGGACCAGCTACATCCTCTTTCCTTGCCTGCCTGCAGCTGCAGACACCTCTCCCAGCCCTTGCTGATGCCTTCTCAGGACAAGTCCCACCAGACTGCAAATCTACAAACTTCCCTCTCTCCAAGGCAAGTGGAGAGGATAAAGGTTCATCAGAGCTTAGCTGGGTCTGTTGAGGCTTGGTTGAGTAAGACCTGCCTATGCCGTGGCCACCCAAGGAAGCAATATGGCAATCCATAGCACATCTCCAACCAGAGCAATCAGACGCACCTTAGGTCATGATGGTCCTGCCACAGATCCACATCTCCTGTCTGAGCTCTGTCAACCCCACCATCTCATCTGGACAAAACAAGACTGCAGTCTCACCAGTTTGTACAAACGTAGGACCAACAAGAAGCTGAACCACCCCACCAGCACAACCAGAATTTCGGATAGTGCTAGAGAGATGGTCAAGAGATATATGTTCCTTCTCAGCATTATCCAAGGTCCCTGTGTCCCTGTTGTCCCTTGTAACCCTTGTGCCAAGGCCAGTGGTTCAGCTGGGAGGTACAGAAAGAGGTACAGAAGAGGGGTGCAGGAGAATTGCCTTATTCAGTCATAAACTTGTGACTGTGGCTAAACCACATCTAGATTCACATCTAGATTCAGGTGCCTTTTGACCTCAAGGGAGCTACTCGGAGATCTGCTGTTCCAAGCTGCTATTGTCTCCTTATAATAGGTTTATAATCTAAACCATGGGGGGGGGACACGTTTGCGGACAAAACCATCACTGGATGTTGCTACAGAGCAGCAACTTCCAGCCTATGTCAGTGTAAATTTCAATACAGCTTAGCAATGCTTTTTTTTCCCCTTTGTCTGGATCATATTTCCAGAGTAAGTTGTTACAAGCCTGCTGGGCTGTTAGAAGTCTAATACGTCAGCCGGGTTGATAGGCTGCCTTCTTTAATGTTTGAAAAGGTGAGGCTATCTATGTTAAAAAGTATGTATCTGTCACGCAGGATGATAAGCAGAAGTGGGGCCTTCCACAGCGACTCTGAAACCCTAGTCCTGCATGCGAGGGGAAAGTTTACTAACACGTAACGCTCACTGGCTGGTGTTTCTCCACCGCAGCACCAGCAGTCACTGAGGCTGGAAACTATTTGCATTTTTAAAAAGTAACAAAGGAAAACCACGTCTGTGGTTATTTGCTCTGTTGCAGCGATTATAAATCTTTACAGGCAGGATTTGGGAGAGTCTAAAATTTTTCCTAGTGCTAGCAGTCATTTTGGGGGGACTCCCTTTCTGCAGACACCAGACTATGAGATATGGTGGCATAATGCTCATGGAAGACCCGTTGGTTTAAGCGCAGAGCCAGGGAACCTCAAGACTGGAAGCACACAGCCTCAGCGTGGTGGGCTCTTTCTCAACAGGAGTTGCTCTTCTGAAACTCTGCTTCACCATGAGCGTCGGGCAGAAGACAGACCTGAGAAGCCCTTTTGGCTCTATCACTCCTGCAGCTGAACCTCTGAGGAGCAGCCCTGCAGCCTCTTCAACAGGGCAACAAAAAGCCCCAGGGAAGGGCAAAGGAATGGCTCATTTTTGCAGTCTGTGTCTCAGTGACCAAAGGTCACTACACAGCTAAGGGTGTCTTTCCCAGGGAGCGATCTTTGGTCCCTGGTGGGTGTAGAGAGGTGTTGGTATGGCTTGTGTTCGCAGTGCTCAGCACAAGTCCTTCTGGAGGGGATTAGTCACATTCACATGCCCTAGCTCTTGGCCCCAGACCTCCTCTGGCTCCTCTGTGGTACCTATGTGGCCCTAAGTTGCAAGTAGTAATAATAATAACAACAACAATATCATAATTGTATAATTGTATAAGTTTACTATTAGATAAGTTATTTATAAGTTTACAAATGTCTATAATTTTATTATTATTATTATTATTATTAACTTCTATTATTGATGTTGATGATGATGCTATTTTAATTCCAGAGTGATTGAAATAATATGCAGGCCAGGCTGCAGCCCATCAGAGTTGGGCTTATACGGCACAAGTCCAGGAGGGTGCTTTGCATGCCTGGGACGTGGCTTGGGGTATGTGTGGGATTTTTGCAGCGCAAGGCCTGCTAGAGGAAAAGAGCCAAACGTGGTGTGAACCCAGCTGTACTGATGACAGACAGCGTTGCAGAAGGGAGCGCGGGAATTAACGACTAACATGTGTGCAAGTGGGGGCCTGGGGGCCGAGAGTCAGCAGAGAAGAGGAGACCTGATCTGGTTGTTAGTGTGGTTGCGCCTAAAAAGCCCGCTCTCCCGCAGGACCTCCTCTCCAGACCCCACTGACCCTTTAAACCCTCCTGCATCTTTCAAACCAGTGACATGCAGCGTGCAGAGGTGACAGGGGCTCTGGGCACCCTCCAGGCCAATCTATCAGCTGCCTACTACCAGCGTTAATACTTATCCTGCCATTACAGCTAATGACTGTATTTCACCCCAAGTCAGAATTTAGTTTGCTGGAGTGAGTGTGGTAGAGCTTTCCCTGTCATTCACCGTGGCCGACTATTGTTCCCTCGGGAGCTGCAGTGTAAAGGCAAAGCACTAGGGCTGAAAAGCTTCAATTCTCTCTTCTCCCAGTGATAGCAGCAAATGAAAAATGTTAAGTGGAGCCGGACAGATGACAGGGCTCCTAATTTCCCCCGATGATAGCCAGGATGGCTGAAAGGAGTTCCTGCTCCTCTGCCACAAGGGACATTCGCCCGTCCTACGGTCCTGCACCACATCCCGGCACAGAGCTGGACTGACACACAGAGGTCCAAGCCTGCACTCGACACCAGCTCAGAGCAGTGTGAGGACAATCAAATTTTGCCCTGGGCAGCTCTGGGTGTTAGACCCTCCTGTTCTGGGTCTAGGATCCCCAAATCATCCCACAAGGGCTCTCAGGTCCTTTCTGCTCAAAGGGTGGCAAGTTTTGTATGGAAAAGAGCAACAGAAGATGTAAAGGGTGGGATTCAACTTCACATCATACCTAGGGCTGATTCTGTCACCTAAACATGGGTGTCTGGTACCACCTGAGATGCTCTGGGACATCTACATGGACTTGGCAGGTGTGGTGCAAAACCACACCTTCTAGTGGAACACCTGGAGACGACCCCAAGATGTTCAGATCTTGGCAACCAAATCAAGCCCCACTGGCTACAGCGGGAGCTCAGGCAACTGCCACGTGCAGTATCTACATTTTGATGCCTGCATCTCAGACTGAGTCCCACTTTCACGTTGCACATGTGGCATCTCCTGTTCCTACAGGTCTCATCAGGCTCTTAACTCCTTCCCGATGGGAAACCCAGGAGCTCAGCTGGATACGGCGGCTGAGCTCTGCGAGGTCCCTCCTCGGGAGCGCAGACACAGCAGTCTTGCTGAGAGCCAAGAGTCCGTGACTCGGCACAGCTGTGTGATGCGTTCCCGCAGGTTTCAGAATGATTATTACTTCGGGGGACGATTTGTTTATTTTCAGCAGCTTCGGCAAGGCTAGCTCTCTGCCGATGATTTCACTGCTGGTCTGCTTCCCACACTGTCTTGACAAGGGCCCATCTTCCCGGGATGTTGAATGTGCCTTTCATGGCCTCTGCAAAATGTTGGCTGAAAGTGAAGCCCCCAGGTTTGCAGATCTTCAGTATCTTTAACCATGAGCAAAACGAGACGCTGCTTAGGATAGGCTGTGAGTAGGTGCTGTTCTTAGGCAGGGTGCAGAATGCATCCCGCTGTGGCTGAGACAACCCAATATGAGACAACCACGCTCCAGTGCATGCAGCTAAGGGGGCTACCGCCCCTAGCTTGACTCAGTGCTCGGCCCTGAAGGTCAAATGTTGCTGATGATGTGCAAAATGAATGAAAAGGAGGAAATTAGGAAGAACCTGTGGGGTTCAAAGGGCAGGGTTAATTCTATGGCATCGCTCTGGACATCTTGTGGTGGGTCACAGGGTACTTCACATTAGCGAACGCAGCCTCACAGCACATTCGGAGATGCGGGGCTTTCTCTTTTCCCCTCCTCTTTAGAGAGGAGGAAGCTGTGCTTAAAACAGATCAAATGGTGTCACCATACCCATTCAGGCTGTCTAAGGTATAGGGTATTCAGGTAGAAGCTGAACACATAGGATGATTCAAAGAAGGATGAGGTGTTTGAAGGAATAACAGACATATTTTGAGACAGAATACTAAATATCAGAAAAGGCACAGGTGTGACTCACATTTCAGAGCCGAAGCTGATCTCTGACCATTTGGGACTAACATGGGACTGTCACGGAGTGGAACACGCCACGTCTGCTAATGCAGAATATCACACGCCTCCAGCTAAGTCTGCTTCTAGCCAGCAGAGACAGGGCATTAAAGACTGGGTCTAGCATGGTTATTTCTCCTTGAATCTCAGGACTCCACCACCTCTGTCCAAGCCTTGTGCAACTTAGACCCAACCACGCTCCAGAGAATTGCAGGGAATGATTTCAAGCTGTGTTTGCAGCTCATGGCTAGCAGAAGGAGGGGACAATTTCCCTGAGCAAGTATAGGGAAAGGTCTGATCCCATCCACATATGGCATCTGGAGATGCCACAAAGACTAGCATCATGTGTGGACAGAAAGCCTCACCCCTTCTTAGCCCTTCAGATAAAATGCACAAGTGTCTGCTGGACTTGTGCACGGCACGTGTGTTGCTCCCTACCCTTCCTGGATGCAATGCAGAGTCATGCCAGCTACCCTCATATCCCAGCAAACAAAGGGGAGAGTGGAAAGGGGCTAAACAGAAGAGCAGCATGTGGTGACTAGTCCAAGCCTGATCATTTCAAAGGCACCACAAAGGCAGTGGGGAAAACAATATACAAGTGGAACAAGTAACTCGTAAAGGGAAATGCTTAGAAACAAGTTTCTTCAATGTTTTCTGACCTGAGCGTTCTCTAAAATTTCTGAAAACTGCAAATCCGCGTGGAAAGCAGCCCTCCTACTTGGCATCAGCTCAGCAGGGACATGTGGAAGTGAGCCCAGGCATGGGGCAGGGGGGAAAATCAAAGTAGGCTGCTATAATGCTAACACAGCACCCCTGCCTGATGGCTGGAGGGAGACGAGCATCTTGTTGCCCCACTTAGCACACTACATGTCATGCCAGTTGAAGACCAGCACTCCAGTTTGATTCTATTTGTCAAATCCTGCTGTTGGAGGTCACTGGAATGGCCAGGTCTGCAACACAGCCAGGGCTCAGACTACATCTGTGAGTAAACTACACCGTGCCAGAGCCTGCTTTCTAGCCCTGGGGTCACATTCACACCATGAAACTCTCTCAGCCTCTGAAACAGGGTGACTGCACTCAAATTGACTGTTGGGAATGGTGCCTGGTTGACACTAGGACAAAACCTGCACAGAGACTGTATGGACCCAGTCTATCTGTTTCCACTCTTACTGTTTGGCCAGAGTCTTGTAAAAGCATTTGGGAAGCAAATCAAGGAAAAGAAGGTCCCATATTACTTCAGATGGATGCTCCAAGTCTCTACTGATCTATTAGGAAGGCACAAACCACCTTTTCCCATGTGGCAAGCAAAGACTCCTATACCCATTTCACAGGAAAGAAACCAAAGCATAGCAAGACTGAAGTACTTTCCTGAACTACTGTAAGGAGCTGGTTCAGAGCAGAACCATGGGACCACCATGAGCATCATTTCCTCCGTGCTGTAAACACACCTGCTGGCCCAGAGGGTGCAAGGAGAGAAAAGTAGGAAAGAAACAATATGAAAATCCCATGAGACAGCCTAAACTATCTTCCAGACTGCCTGCAAGTTAACAGCACAGAACAAAGAAGTTGCAATTACACGGTTAAGTATTATGGTTAATAACTATATCCACTGCCCGAGAGAAGTGACCACAACGCTCTGCCCTCTCCATCCTCATTGGGTCATATCTTCAAAAGACAGCCATGTTCATAGGGAAGGAAAGTGGATGAAGTCCACCTTTCCTGCTCCAGTCAGTCCCCTTCCAAAAGTCCTGGTTTACATCAATTCCCCCTGCTACGGACTATCAGGAAAAACATGTTTCCTCTGGGAAAATGTTTCCACAAAACACTTTTTCCAAAATTCTGCAAGTTTCTGCTGCAAGCAGGAGAAATGCTTCTTCAAGAGTGTGTAAAAGAATTTCCATTTGCCAAAAAAGTAACATTTCCTTGGGGAGAAAAGGAAAAGAAGCCCCCTACATATTGTTTTGGAAAGTCTTTTCTGCTTATCTGTGTTGCTGCACGTCTGCCACAAGCTATGGTGACAAGAGCCACCCTTACCGCAGCCTGAGCTACATATATGAGTAGCATCATGAGCAAATCTTTGCCGTCCAAATCCCCAGTTCACTTCTACAGCCCTGCTGAGCCTAGCAAGTGCTATTTTGCACAGCCAGGTCCAAGAAACACTGACGCGGCTGAACTTTGCAGCTCAGGTCTGAAAGGTTTTCCAAGCCATGGCAGTAACGAGGAGTTATCCTTGCTCTGTGTCTCACCTTTGCTGGTTTCACTCTCTCGGACAAGGAAAGAGCCGACTTTGTTACCAGAAGACAACAGCAGCCGTTCAGCATCTTTTCTGCTCAGAGTTTTAAAATACCACCTGGGAGACAGAAAAGGCAAAATAGTTGTTTGAAAAGGAAAAGCTCTAAAAAAAAGCAAATTCTTTCCAGTTAGCTCATTTTTTTTTTTATAGCAAATAGTTTTTTATCTGCTGGAAAGTGCCAGTAATAGACTGTTTTCAGTAGATTAACACCAGATTTCGGTCACTTTGGGCTTGTTTCACAGCCTAGCGATTCAGCCAGACAGTAGATGGTATGTGCAGTACCCCGTACAGGAGGGAGGTGCAGGCTCAGCCAGAGCACAGCCTCTGAGGCACGCGGGGACCCACGGCTCACCTGGCAAGTGAGTAAGCCCTGAGCAGTGCCCGGACAGGCTGTGTATAAAGCTGATACGTGGGCTGGAGGCTGAGCATAGGGTGCCCATAGCCATTTAAATGTACCCTTTGGATACAAAGAGCATTTATGTCCCAGCCACATTTCTGCGTGCTGTTAAATATTTGCTGAATTCAGTGATGGTTGGGTCCCTCCAAGAGGAGATTGCAAGCGGGGCTAATCATTTATAGCTGAATGCCGTAGAAGAGAATAAGTCACAGAAACAATTCCTTCTTCTGCTTGTATTATAGGCATAATAAACCCTTTTGGCTCAGTCTTTACCATCTTCTTTGCAGGGAGCCAAACATGAAGGCTGCATCTGGGCTAATGAAACAAACAGCGTCAGGCTGTGGGTCTGGGCACTGGCACTCAGTGTCTGCCCCGTTAAATTGTTGGCGTGGTCCCTGGCACATCCGAGGCCGGGATCAATGCACCCTTCCCAAGTGATCCCCAGTCCCAGTTTGCATACAGACACCATCTTGGGGGCTGAGGAAGTTTAACACTATGCGTGTGGGTGGACTGGCCCAGTGGGGCCAGAGGATGGTCCCTGGCACTGCTAATTTACCAGTGCAAACATAACCTTTATGTTCTTTCCCCACATCTTAATTTTCCATCATGGGTGCAATCAATGAGACAGGAGTCTTTGCCCACTTCCCCTGTAGCAACCTCAATCTCCCTGCTCTGCACCCACATGGTGCTTAAAACTTCTCCTGAACATTTGGGCAGCGTTGCTGGGGATGGTGAAAAACCTCTTGCCATCCAGCCCAGCAGTGACATCTTCCTGCCGTCAAGTAAAGCTGTTTCCGTACCTTGTTGAGAGACTGAGCTCTTTCAGAAAGGAAAGCCCCGCATCAGTGTTCACCAATCATAAGCTTTTGCACTTACTTTTCCTCTTCCAGACTGTCTACTTGTGCGACGAAGTTACTGGGGATGTAACCTTTCCTCCCGCTGCTGAGGGATTTTGCCAGCCACCAGTCCCCCTCACTGCAAAGCAAGCAGAAAAAGCGTGAGTGCCTGGAGGAGGTTTCATGACAGGCCAAGGCCATGGGGACAGCATGGTTTCTGGGATTTTGAGCACTGCAAATAGACCAGCGCTCCTTAATCCACTCTACAGGTCCCTCTTGATTTCCTAGGACCACCACCAGGTTGAAGGTTGTTGATCTCTCAGGGATTTCTGGAGGTGACAGTCTCTTCCCATGAATGCAGAGGAAGCGCAGAGTGACCACAGACCCAGACCTCTGCTACGTGCCCCAAGTGAGAGGAGGGAAATCTGGGTCACCGTGGGTTTATTTTGTCTCTTGCATAGGGACATCGGGGCTCCTCCTTTCTGTTCCTTCTTTTGTCCGCCAGACACCCCCCTGCTTTGCTCTCCCACCACTGACTCAGCCACCAGCTGTGATGAAAAGCCATCCCCACCCATCAGTCTCCCCTGCCCCATGGGTCCCAGCCCATGGCATCTGGGTGAGAAATGTCACCTCTGGAGGCCACCTCACAGAGAGGTCAAGGATGGAGCAGCCCTACAAGGCCAAATGAGCAAGGGACCCAAGCCCACCTCTGCCCTATTATGGACTGGGCAGATGGACTGTCAGTCTCTTCTCTCGTGAGTTTGAGAAGAAGGTGGAATGAAACCACACGCCTCTCTGGCTTGATTCTGTCCTTTCCTCTGACTACACCCAACCCACATCCTTTGCAAAAGCACGATCAGCACAAAATACGAAACAGGAGCTAGATTATTGTTGTTATTTAGGCCACTTCTGCACCCACGCACACCGGCAGTGAAGGAGGTCCCAGAGGTATCCAGTCAAGGACACTACCTGACCCCAAAGTATCTGTAACCCAAGGAAAGCATGGAAGTGTCACCTTTTCTACCTTGCAGAGAGAAGAGAGTACCCACAGTCACACTCTGGAGCAAATCTAAGACACAGGCTCAGCTCTGGTGAGCTGCAAATTGGTGTCCGACCCCAAGGTCCCCCCTTTCCCAGCCTCACCATGCTCATCTTTGAACCTCCCTCTGGCAGCAGGTCACTTACTTGGAGAGGACTTGGAGTTTCTCCCCCTTGACCAGCTGCAGGTCACGGTCACTTGAGGCAGCAAAATCATACTGTGCAATCACAACAAAGTTATCTGAAAGAAGAAACAGCACCACTGAATCCAGCCTGTTTCCTGCCAGGGCGGTGATGCACACCCGGGTGTACGGCGGGGCATTTCACCCCCGCACACAGGGGCCGTCACCACCCCCGTCCCCCAAAAGCCAAGCTTTCCACCAACCCAGCTTTCCTGCCAACCACAACCTCTGCTTGGGGACTAACACGGATTCACCAAAGTGTTTCCTGTGTATGTGTTTTTAAAGCAGTCCAGTCCCCCCTATCCACAAAACCCAGCGTGTCAACAAGAAAAAAGGGTTTGTGTGGAATAAGAAGGGTCATAAATAACCTGTCAGTGTTTGGCCTGAGTTTTACACAGCGGTAAATGAAAACTGCTGTAGCAACATTTCCCAGGGTGGCTCTGGGATTTGACTCAAAAAGATGAGGCTTTCTTGATTGAAAAAGGTATAAAGTCATCTCAGTTTCTGTTATTCAGGCCCATTGCTAGGATTTAACTCTCCCTCCAGATGCCTTTGACTCAGCCTGTATCTTGCCATCCCTTTTACACACTGTTCCTTGCAGATGTGCCACCACGTTTAAGTCACACTGCTGCTTTTGAACCAGCACCTTTATAGCGCCCGGCTGCTCCGCTCAGCTGAAATTCCCAGGGGAGCGGTGGAGGCTCCAGGATTTGCTCCCCCCTTCCTGGCCCTGATGCACTTTAGATGCTCTAAACCACACAACTGATGCTCTGTCTCTCCCATTTTGCTTCCAACACACCTGGACCAAGGCTGTGAGTGGGTCTGAGTCCCCATCTCCTACCCTAACGCGGTGCTTTTACTCCAGCCATGTTGGTCGAGCCTAAATTTTGGCACGGCAAAATGAACTTTCACTCTCCGGTGCATGCGCGCCGCGCTGTGCATGGCAAAGCTGCCACCTGGTACGTGTGCTGCGAGGCTGCTAACCCACCCTGGGGCAGATCTTCGTGGGCTGGAGCTGAATCGCTACGTTTGTATGCCCGGGTTGTGCCGGTGCTGCTCTCGGAGAGGTTGTGCAACCGTTCACATGTGCTCTGCAGGCTCGCAGCCACTGAAGCAGAAATGAGCAGCTATTTTGGGGCAGATCAAACTGTATAAAGAGGATACGCACATGCACACAAACCCAAAAGTCAAACCAAAACACAATGGCGAAAAAGAAAAAGAAAAAGAAAAGGAAAAAGAAAAAGGAAAAGAAGAAGGAAAAGAAGAAGGAAAAGAGAAAGAAAAAGAGCAATAAAAGAGAAAAAAAAGGAAAAGAAGAAGGAAAAGAAAAAGAAAAAGAAGAAGAAAAAGAAAAAGGAAAAGAAGAAGGAAAAGAGAAAGAGAAAAAGAAAAAGAGAAAAAGAAGGAAAAGAAGAAGGAAAAGAGAAAGAGAAAAAGAAAAAGAGAAAAAGAAGGAAAAGAAGAAGGACAAGAAGAAGGAAAAGAGAAAGAACAAGAGCAATCAAAGAGAAAAAAAAGGAAAAGAAGAAGGAAAAGAAGAAGGAAAAGAAGAAGGAAAAGAAGAAGGACAAGAAGAAGGAAAAGAGAAAGAGAAAGAAAAAGAAAAAGAAAAAAAGAAAAAGAAAGAGAAAAAGAAAAAAGAAAAAGAAAGAGAAAGAGAAAGAGAAAGAAAAAGAAAAAAGAAAAAGAAAGAGAAAAAGAAAAAAGAAAAAGAAAAAGGAAAAGAGGAAGGAAAAGAAGAAGGAAAAGAGAAAGAGAAAAAGAAAAAGAGAAAAAGAAGGAAAAGAAGAAGGAAAAGAAGAAGGAAAAGAAGAAGGAAAAGAAGAAGGAAAAGAGAAAGAGAAAAAGAAAAAAGAAAAAGAAAAGGAAAAAGAAAAAGGAAAAGAAGAAGGAAAAGAGAAAGAGAAAGAGAAAGAGAAAGAAAAAGAAAAAAAGAAAAAGAAAGAGAAAGAGAAAAAGAAAAAAGAAAAAGAAAAAGAAAGAGAAAGAGAAAGAGAAAGAAAAAGAGCAATAAAAGAGAAAAAAAAGGAAAAGAAAAAGAAAAAGAGGAAAGAAAAAGAAGAAAGAAAAAGAAGAAGAAAAAGAAGAAGAAAAAGAAAAAGGAAAAGAGGAAGGAAAAGAAGAAGGAAAAGAAAAAGAAAAAAAAGAAAGAAAAAGGAGACCATTTGCTGCAGAAAGCTTTTTGCTTGTACACAGCCTAATTAATGCACTGAGAGCGATGGACGGTCTATTATTAGCATTTTTCAAAACAGACTGTCAAGCCACAGTCTCTGTGTGACCTTTTCAAATAATGCCACCAGCAAAGGAGCCAGACCGGCCCTTTGTCATTGCAAGATAACATGTCTCTGGGACAACTTGAGTTTTGTGTCTGTGCAAGGCCTGCCTGCTGCTCTGCCGGTGATTTATGGGAGAGGAGGGAGGAGAAAGGGTCAGCGTGGGATGAAATGCAGCTTTGTAAACCGAAGCCCTGAGCAGTTCCCTTCAGGCTTGCGAGGAGGAACTTGGAAATCCATGAGAAGTTTCAGCAGAGCCTCACTCTCTCCCGTGTATGGGGGAAAGGATGATCGGTCACAAGGGAGAAGGCTTTGAAGCCTTAAAATAGCCTGCATGGTTGGCGGCTTCTGCTGGAGGGATCTCAAAGCGTTTGGCATTAGCAATGCACCCAAACTCTTGTTGCCTCCTTGAAAAAGCTGTTACCACGCAGCTTCTCTGACATGAAAGGTTTTGGGGCATGTGCCTGCTGCAAGGTGTCCACAACGAATGTGTTCATCCACATGCACCGTCCTGCTCCTCTTGGAAGTAAAATAATGCAGTGGGCGCACCTTTGCTTTGAAAAATAGAAGCAAATGCGTAAACATCTTCAAGCACAGAGTAGCTGTGTATTCCAGAAAATAAAAAGAAAAATGCAGTTTTGATCCTGAAGCAACTGACGTAAGTACAAATAAAGGAAACCAAAAATGAAAAGGAGAGAGGGAGAAAGAAAAAGAGTGAATATAGCAGGGACAAAAAGGTTTTATATGCTGAAAAAATATTATGATCACCTCTTATCCCCTTCTCAACATACGTGTTGAGAAACACTGCACACTTAAGTGAGCCAGAAGAAAAGCTCTCTCTGCTCAAGCCAGCAAGACTTGCTGTCTCATGATGAAAGTGACTCTTCCCGTCTCTGAGTCTGTCACCCCACTGAGAAACAACGTCGATAATACTTTCTTGGCCTATTTGATCAAGTTAGGTCATGAGTGACTCTACAGCAGAGAAGCCGTCGGGGCTGCTAGGAGTGACTGCTTTGCAGATAATGCTAGCAGCCTGCAGACTTTGATTGCGAGCCAAATACATCTTGGCTCAGAGTTGCTGTCAGGAAAGTTAGATACCAGCTCGGTTTGCATAGGCTGAGTGCCAGTTTGATGGCTTAATAGAAATGATTCAAGCAGTCTTCTCACCGCTGCCCCGTCATGAATGGAAGGTATTTGCAACCATCCCACGGCTACGGAGCCAGGCTGAGACTGTGCCAGGGTCCCCCAGAGGGCCATGAGTTGGTTTAGAGCCATGCTAGGATGGTCATGGGGTAAACGACAACTCGCAGCACGTGTGTTAGCCGGCTGGGTGCACTGAACTATCAGTTGCTGCTGCTGAAAATGAGTCCAGCTTTCCGTTTCAACATGGCATGGGCTGGTTCACCAAGGTAAACGTGTGCTAGAAAAGCACGCCTTCAAAACACAGAGCTTCTGGTGGCACCCCGGCCTCATTGCTGCTATCACCGAGAGGAACACCATTAGATCCCATTGGTGGAGATGCAGAAGGCTGTGGGCTGGGACTGTTGCATCTCCCCGCTGGTCAGCAAGCCCAGGTGTGACAGCGTGGGAGATGTCTCCTGGGACATCCAGGCTTGCACTGCGAGAGTGCTTTCTGCCAAATACCTTTCTGCCTTGTGTTTTGACACAGTGAATGCTTTTGCAGATAATTTCTGCTTTCCTCACAAAATCATATCAGACCCAAACTCATAACTTTTTATTAGGAAACCTGAACACTTTGAGCAATTCCCTCTAATCTTCCTTCCCCCTCTTACTTTTGATTGGCAGTGCCCATTTTTTATGAGGTGTTTTAATTTCTCATTGAAAAGTCATCCTTTTCGGTAGAAACAACCCCTCCTATTTTCAATTAAGCTCAAAAGCATGTTTCTGACAGCATTCATATTCGGGGAACAACAATAAAAATGGCTAAGGGCTTTGATGCTAATCTTGAGATGCCTCAAGACCTCAATTTCCAGAGCATGCTTAGCCCCCACCCTGAAAATCAGTCCTATTCATGCTACGGTTAGCCAAAAGCAAGTGAAAAGAGCTGTGGGAAGTTGCAGTTCCTCAATCAGAAGAAATGGCCTCGCAGAGAGACCAATTCTTTGTGCAGTCGCAGGTTGTTATAAAGCCTGAGGACAAACACCCGAAACAACCAGCTCTCTCCACCAGTGGTACTTAAATCCAGCTGTGAGCAGCTGGCAGGGCAAGGGCAGGGGTTATTCTACCTATCTGCTATGTCTTAACTATCCAATGCCAGTGAAGAGCAGCAGCTGTAGCAATGGAGCTGTTGTGTTTGGGAACCACCATCATCGGCCAAGACTTTGCTGTGCCGGGAGCTTTAGAGGTGCAGAATTAAAGGTAAGTTTTGACCCTATGGAGATATAGAGCCAACCTTAAAGACATCATGAGCGCTTAGGGAACCACGGTAAAGTGAATGAGAGACTCACCCGATGAAAGAACCCACGCCAAGTGAAAAGTGGATTGGCAACACTGCAGTCGAATCCAGAGGTATATACTCCCTGCCTGCCTTTGTGTTACTTCCATTAAGCTAAATAATGTCAGGAGGAATTAGGCTTTTGTTAACAATAAAATAAATAAATAAATGACTTCTGAGGCAGCAGTGAGAAAGCTGGAAACTGTGAAACAAGTTGCACAACACCAAGATCAGAAAAAAACTAAGAAAATCAAAATGAAAAGCATGCAAAAAAAAAATAAAATTAAAAAAAAACCTGAAAGAAAAAGGTTTTGATTTTACATTACATGCCACACTTCCGTAGTCAATAATTTTGCCTGACTGAGCTTGAAGTGCTCCCACAGGACATAATTCAGCTCTTTGATTTTTTTATATGATTGATTTGTCTGGATTTTGTGCTTCCTCTATCAAGTCACTTGAATTGCCTTCCTTCATGAGAATCTCTCAGATATCTCAAATATCTTGCATGATTCCTATCAGCCCATTTTGCCACACAGGACAGAGTCAGGCACAGCATCATTTCTGGAAACTCAGGCACCGGTGGAGAAAAATAAGAAGTTCCCCAGACTGGCAGTGTGAATATTCCTCCAAAACTGGAACTGAACCTAACAAACCAAAATATTTTTGAGAGCTGAAAATGGCTAACATGGTACTTCATGCATTTTTTTAGCATCTTTCCACTTCTGCCTTCTGGCATGAAGCAGAAGTAAAAGCCGCCTCCCTGAAGATAGCTTCTGTTGTGCTTCTCACCAGAGTGAGAAGGTTGACACAAACCCCGTGAAAAACTGGCAACGTCTGCTCGGTTGTGGAGGTAGGAAAGCACGGCCACTTGGAAATGTGCCATGAAAACAATTTTGCAAAAGAAAGCATGGTTTCCGGAAAAACGGTACTTCCATGGAAACACACCCGGATTCACATGGTTGAAGAGCTACACCTCCCACAAATTTGATCGCCATAACAAATGTCTATTTTGAAGAACATTTTGACGTTGCAGGAGTTCCCCTGTCTGACCCATGGCAGACACCCTCCATCATCATCCATAAGACATAAGAAGACCAAGGCCTGCTGTTCCACGCATCCTATTTATTTGTCACCCCACTTTTTCCTTTCCTCATGCCCTGTGTCCCCTAATCCTACACTTTTGCCCACGTGAGGAACTTCTGTGTGTTGCTAACCGCTTTCTTCCAAGCTTCCTCTATTTTTTGCCCCCTTCTAATTCTTTCTATCTCTCTGTCCTTAATCTGCAAAATGTCTTTGACAGAAATATATACAAGTTGCTGTCGGAGGCTGGGCAGAGGTAGCAGAGGGCTTCCTGCTAAAAGGCAATCATCTACCAAACGACATCTGTGACCTGCAGATAATTGCAGAGGTGGATAAAGCCAACGTTCTCCAAGCAGGGGCTCTGTGGCTCTTTATTTTATACTCTTTTCTTTCTTCTCGTTCTCTTTGTAGTCTCCCTGGGCTCTCTGATGCCTGCTATTTCCTCTGAAATTTTCAGCTGGCTGGATATAGCATCCACAAGTTGTCATGCTGCAGACAGGGCAGCAGGCAGAGAAATCTCATGCAGTTGATGTCTCAGATCTCACTTTGCTCAACCAATGAAGAAGGAGTGCTTTTCCCTCTTAATTTCTTTGATGAGCAGGGGAAACTGGCAGCTACAAACAGTTAGTGATATAAACTGAATCTTCTGAAACATACCGATAAACTCCCCACCTGGCAATGCTGAAGATACAGAAACCGCATGCCTGCGACATGACAGCTTGTTCTCAAGACCTGCTGTTGGGGGACCATCACCTTGCAAAACCCCACGGGAAGGCAAAGAAAACAGCAATTGAGCTAAGAATCTTACCTTGTACAGAGGCTTGGTTTAGATGAGGGATGCTGATAAATTGTCTGCCCTTCGGTAGAAATAGAAAGAAAAAAGACGACATTTATTACTTTGCTGTGTTTGCAGGAAGACCTGCTCTCTGCTTCGCAGATGAGTGGGAGTCTGATCCGGAGCCCACTGTAGTCAGCCAACAGCCCCTGAGTCTGGCTCCGTATGTGTCATGATGGCTTTAGCACATTTTGCCATGATGTGTTCATAGCTCTCTTGGCAGTCAGCTTGAATAATCGTTGACTCCCCTCTGAATAAAAGCATAAATCTGCTCCCCACTCATTTAGACCCTGGTCTATCTAACTTTTGTTCACTGATGACAGATTTAGGATCAATGAGGGATGAGATGTGAATGGTCCCATTGAGAAATGACAACTGCAATATTATTTGAAGCAGAAAACCCGGGATACTCTTTGCCATAATTGTCCCAAGGCTCATGGAATGTCCTTTGCTCAGGGTTATGTTCAAAAAATGCAGGCAGTGACTATATTAGCAAATTAAGCAGCAGCAAGGTACTGCAACTCATCTAGGCACACTTTTAAAATGTTGGCATGGCCCCTAGTTTGGTTTGACCCAGACCCTGAGAATGGCCAATTGACCATAGACCACTCCTAATCCGCAGGTGGGATGCAACCACCTTGTCTTGTGGGCTAAGAGTGTAATACCATGGAAATGGCCAGGTGGGCTCTGTTGATCCAACTTCAAACGCCAGTCCTGTGATCAGTCCAAGGTACAGTACCTGGTGACTAAAGTGGGTGTTTGACCGCTGCCAGGTATTTTCATACATGTGCCAAAGGAGTGAACTGCAGACGCTGAATTAAAAACAACTAGTGCTTTCTGTCCGCACCACCCTTTGACTCCTAGTTAGCAGCAGCCTGGGGTGGGAGAGCTGCTCAGCCAGTGCTCTTCCTGATTTAACTGAAAGAAATGTGGACTTCCCCTGACATGTGAGAGCTTAGTGCCCGTGGCAAAAAAAATGAGTGTCAGAGGGTGATTGATGATACTGTATTTACACTGATAGTAGCTCCTCTCCAGTGAGCTAGAAAGAATGAAATTTAAGAAAAGAACATCTTCTTGGTCAATCTGACATTTGCTGTCATGAAAGCTGGACTTCACAACCATGGGAGAACTCAGAAATGAAACCAAAGGAGCGAAAAATATCTCCACCTGCCATCAAAAGCAATGATAGGCAATTCCTCCCCCCTCTCAGAGCTCAAGACCTGAGATGGTTTTCACATGACAGTTGCACCTATAGTTTCTCATGCTGGCTGCTGGTTGCAGTGCTGACAAGCACAAGAAAAGAGAAAACAATTTCATGTCCTCTGTACAGCAACAGAAAGATAGATAAAGTGATTTCCACAGTTTAAACAAGGAGTTTGTCATTTGAGGTCTCCTAAATCCTGACCCAGTGTCTTACTGATCAGTGTCCATGCAAGCAGAGGCCGTGTGAATCCAAAGGGAGCAGCAGATGCTCAGCGTTCCTGATTCTCAGCCTACCCCAACACAGATTAGTTGTAGACCCTCTTTAGTGAACCTGTTGTCCTCCTTGATGGTAAAGTTTCCATTGCGGTTTGCAGCTTTGAATCTTAGCCTGAATCTGACCCATCTTTGTGCCGTTTGCAAGTCAGCAACATCAGCTTGGGTTTCAGAGTGCTGAGGGCAGCAGCCCTGTCTAAGAGATATGGGAATCAGCTCGGAGGACTTGTGTCCAAGCGATGCAGGGCACACAGGCAGTGGCCTCTCGCACCTTCTCTCCCTGGCCCCTGCCCTGCCCTCCCGTCCAGCCCACACAAATAATTGTGCCAGGCTCAACACGACATAGACTTTCAGAGCACCACCATCCCTAGCCCACTCAGACAATTCACGGCCATAACATATCCCCAAAGAGAAAATGGCATCCTTTTTGACAGAGAAAAAACCTAGAGCAAGAAAGGGCTGATGGAACAGTTCACCCTGTATTAAGAACCTCGTGGGGGGAAGCTAGGCATAAACATTTGTTTTCTGCTCTTTGAACAACGTTTCCCAATTGGGGACCCAATTTTAGGAAATAGAAGTACTCAAGTTCCTGCTTGCACATACAAGTATTGCCTGCATCACTCCGGACACTAACTGAGCTGTGGAGGACCCCAAAAGGACACAAAATGGCGGGCTTACCTTGGGTGGGGCGGGAGGAGGTTTACTCTTGGTTTTTGGGTTGCTTCCAGAAGTGTGTTTCTCATTGGACATCAGCTGATTTTTGCTCCCGAGCAACCCCATCCTGGAAGGAAGACCCAAAACTACTTTTTAATGAGACTGCTCTTGAGAAAAAAGGCAGGTGCTGAGGGACAAAACCTGAGTTTGTTTGGAGAAGTTGAGAGAAGATGAGAATGCAGGGCAATGGGACAGCAGAGAGAAGAGTCTAAAATCATTCCGCCTACAGCCCCCCTACTACCTTGGACTTTGTGAACCCCATAGTTTCTGTTCCCACACAACTCTGGTGTTTCACGTTTTGCAGATGAGGCTCAGACAGACACTATAAGTCACCAGAAAAAAATGAGCACAAATGACTGTTTTGGATATTTCCCCTCTCCAATGCAGGGATCCCCAGCTGGCATTGAGCAGACTTGCTCCAGAGCTGGGTGATGCCGCATGCATGCACTGCCGGACCGTTGAAGAGGGGATGCTGGAGATCCTGGGGAATATCGCTGTGCTGAGCTGTTTAGATGTACCAGAGCTTCAGGAGTGTCGCAAAGTCCCTGGACCAAGCCCAAGCCCTACCCGTGCTGCTCAGTGCCTTCTGTAGGTCATGTCCCTCCCATGCAGCCAGAGCAGCACACAAATGTGGTAGCTGTCTGCATGGTACCAGTCCCACCCTTCCTTGTGCTTAAGCAGCACAGACACACACTCAGCTTGTCCACGAAGGCATGAGTCCTGATGGGACACTTTGGAGGACTGCAAGAAGCTTAAGGAGTCAAATGAAGTGTAGCTTGCATCCATCCTGCCTGTAAAGTGTGGGCCTAGGGCTTGGCTCAGTTGTCCATCTGCAGTGCCCTAGTACCTTCTGGTGTGCCCTGGGGTCTCACAAGGTGTGGGTCTCCCATACATTGTGGATTATGTTTCCCAACCCCATGTATGTGTCTCAGATGTTCTGGACACCTCGAGGAGCATTAGACACAAATGAATCAAACCCTTTCCGTGGGCTATCCTCTGGTTCACACTAGGGTTTCCACACTTGTGCTTGAAGACTGGTTTAACTTGCAGCCAAGAAATGTAATTTCAGCTCTGGTCAAGACTTCTAGCATAAAACTGGATCTGGGTAACCAAGGTAGCCAAACCATGGCAAACTCGGCCTGCTCAGCCCCCTGAAAAAGCAGGGAGCAGTTGAAGCCAGCATTACTGAAGTGCTGTTGCCATGAGTCTATAAGGTATCTACACCGTCCAGCACTAAAGTCTGCCCCAGCCCCTGCTTTGAACCAAAAGCATTGAAAGGTGTGGGCTACAGGTCCAAAAAAACCCCACAAACCAACTCCAAACCCCTGAATACTTGTAGCTGAGCAAAGACACGTTGGCTCCTGTTCTTGCCAAAATACCTCAAGGTCTGCAATGAACACGGGGGATTGGGGACTGGAGGTGCAGGGACCAATGTGATTAGTCAGTTCCCCCAAATGTCAGTCTGGCGCTGTGTCATGATAGTCAGACTCCAACAGATGTGTCCAAAAAAGCTTCCAGCAGACCAGACTTGCCGGGAAAAAAATATTCCAGTAAAAGCAACTTCTTTTCTTTCTAGCACATTTCTAATATTTCAAAAACTGGGACTCTGAAATGAGGTTTCTAACAGAGCCATCCCAATATTTTAAGCTGTTATTTTTTTTTAAATATCTTCTCCCTTCTGCCTCATTTTTATTTTCACTGATAAAGTGAGCAAAATGGAAGGAATTGGTGAAATATTTCAGGATAGCCCAATACACATTTCCCTCCCCCAGTCAAAAGTTTTTCAGCATCCAATCTTCTCTGAGCTTTTCTTTGACCTGAGTTTACAGATGGCCCATCCATCTGTAACCAGGTCTCAGCAACGCTCCGGGCACTGACAACGCAGTTGGAGGGGAAGTTTCGCCCACTGAATCAGCCACAGCATTTCCTGCAGCAAGCTCATTTTAATTTGGCAGCCTCCCCTCCAGGTTGCAACCAGGCTTTGCTTTGCTTAGAAGATCTGGTTGTCATGCAATGGCACATGATTTATTAAGCGAGCT